GATGGTCTGGGCACATGTTGAGACTGTCCTATGCATCGGCACTCTGCTCAGCCTCATATTTCTCAATAGGAGCTTTGGGATCCTGCAAACCAGTAAGTAAGCACTCAACAAGACAGCAACTGTTCCGACAAGTTCATCCTGAACTTCTGGCAGCATCCAACTAATCTCGTACTTTCTTGCTCCAGGTGTGGCCTCAGCGAAGGCTGTCTCAACATGTTTTGTCCTCTGCTGTTTAAGGGCAATACGTTCAAGCATCGCGGCGCGCTGCCTCTTGTGGGAGGAACTGGCACCTTCAGAAGGTGGGCTTCCTTGAATGCCCAAGCGCACCACTGCCAGAGCGGCTGGACGCTAGACACGTCCCCGACAAATGACGAGAGACAAACAAAGACAGGACCGTTTAGAATGCCGAGAGATGCCCGACCTGTGCACAAGCTTGTTGCGCTCGCTGCCGCAGTTCCTCTTTTGCAGCGTGCACCTCTAACAAACGTTGACAATGAAATCGAAAAATAGAATCACTGATAAAGCACTTGTTCAGCACTCTGCCTCGTGCAGAGCTTCTGCACCTTTAGCTTTAGTGTCATCATCTAAGGATTGTAGCCTGAGTGTTGCGTAGCAACTGAGCATGCATAGCCGTTCAAAAGTTGATGCATCGCGATGGGCGATGGACTAAGCTGCGCACTTATCCGGATGAAGCAACAGCACCAGCTTCTTCCAAACTTTTAAGATAGCCTTTCCACACAAACGAACATATCGAGCACATAGTGCATGGCATTGCCACATTCATGCATCATCATGTCCTCTTCCGTTGCTTCCCCGGAAATTTGCAACTTCTCCTTGAGATCATGTTGGTTGTGAGTCTGCCAAGATGCTGAAGGCAAAAACGCAGCCTCTGCAGACGCTGCTCCAAGGATGCGCTGGATCCTCAACTTGCCGGTCAAAAGCGTCTTACCAATGCACATCCCACATTTGCTTTTCACACGCTTCTCTGACAGGAGGTGGCGTGACTGGCGGGGCTGCTATTAAACCCCATTAAAATTGTCATTAGCTCGTCTGTTGGTTCTGAGGCCGCCACTCAGATGAAGCATCGCGAGTCTTTGTCGGTGCTTTTGCGGCAGCCTTTAAGCTCGGTCACGCAACCAATGCGCTCTGCAGTCGGCAACCAGCCAAGGAGGAATATCCTTACTGACAGCATCAACTTGACTCTACTTGTGATGCGTTCATGCAGAAATTGCCTGCCTTGGGAGGCGGACCTCCAGGTGGAGTAGGCTTTACCTGATTGGCTTGAGCCAAACACAGACCTGCAATCCATCTGCGCTGTCCACAACCAATGGCAGTCCTTCGCTCTCGCTCCCGTCGGCGGCAGCAATGCCTGGCTGAGAACTTATGCCAATGCATCAACCAAAATAGGACAACAACGCAGAAGCACCCCGACAAATGGCAGCGTACCAACTGCATCAGCAGTTGTCGCTTGCTTGAGCGAGACTTGATTGAGAACCTACACGCGATGCAAACACATTCATGTGTAAATGTCTCAGTACATGTGTGGATGTGTCAATATACCTAGATAAGCTAGCAGTCATTTGCCAGGAGAGTCACCAACTCCTTTGGAAGCCGTTACATCCTTGCCCCAAATCGCTTTGTGCAAGGCTCTGGCTGGTTGATGGGCAGGTGGATGGGTTTTTGCGTTTGCTTGCTGCTCTGTCAACAAACGGTTTTTCGTTGCTGTCTTGTTTCCCTGCAATGGCCTTGGAGCATCCATGGCTTTTAGCAGCGGTGAGCGAGGGCAAGGCCGAGCAGGGGGCCGCGGTTCCTGCAACTTCAGAGGCTTCGCATGTTGCGAAGCTTCTTGAATGCCGGCTGCCTAGCCTGCGTTTCAGGCCTTGGATCATTTTCCTCATCCATCCTCAACAAGCGCTCAATCAACTGTGGCAATCAATCACCTGTGCTTTCTGCAAATCGCTCCCGTACTTCGTGTCAGTCTGTCGTCTGCATGTGTTTGTGTCTGGGCGCTGAAAATGGAATTGGCGCCTAGTGATGTCATCGATCTGCTCGGTCTCTCCTGTTTGACGAAGTGAGAACCACTAAAGAAGCAGTCTTACGAGTGCATATCTTTGAAAGAATTCAGTGGCCTCGACCAAGACCTTGCTGCAAAATACGGCTGAGACGGATCCTGTGTCGGCTGCAGCTGCTCTTTTCTTCAAATCCTGCAAGCGCCAACACCGTACATGTTTGCTCACGTGATGTCATATTTTGTACTAGTGCTTCCGAGCCTTGCATCTTGGCCTTCTTCTGCGCGATGTTTGCCATTCACTCAGAACCTGTGTGCATGCGTGTGCGCGTCTGTGTGTGTGCGTGTGAAGCCTGCAAGGCTGCACAAGTGGTTGACTTTTGACTGCGCAAACCACTGAAAACCGTGGCACATTCTCTCAAGTTCAATTTGATTTTTTGTTTGCGATGCATGATACCGTCAAGGCTCAGCATCGGCCTGAAGACGCGTCAATTTGGATCTCCATGGCATTGCCAACCCCAGAGCGGGTCACACTTTTGACTGCTTGAATTGAACCGTTGGCAACACTTGACACGAGAATTTGCAACGAGCACCGCGCAGGATATCTCGCGGAAGAGTGTTGAACTCCCTTGTAACATAGAAACTGTGGTTGTTGTCAGACGGCCAAAAATGCTTCAGTTGGACAAGCGTTGTATACCTTCAGGCGGTAGTTTTTGGTTCGCTTCAAATGATATCAAACCATCAGCTGTTATGGACTGAGCCTCGCACCATCACATATTTGCTGGACAACGCGCTGCTCCCAAAATGCATGCTTTTTCAGTTCTCAACAACCAATGGCCATGCGACGTACGGATCGTGTACTATGACGCATGAATAAGTGCATGAGAATGGATCCAAAAAAAAACAGGGATCAACAAAATACTGCCGAACGCAACAAGCATCTGACAAGGGCATCCAGGAGGATCAACAATTACGCACATCAAACCAAAAATGTGATGGGCTTAGTTGGAGTGCTGCCAAATTTGGTTTGGTGTCGGCTTGGGGTCAGTCCAGGATGAGTTTGGCTTAGGTTTGAGGTTGAAGGCGGATTACGGGTTGCAGGTTTGTTTTGGCTGGAGTTGGGTTGGATTCTGGGTTGGTTTTGGGTTTGGCATGGGCTTGAAGTTATTTCAGGGTGAGATTAGTGAGATTGGGGTTGATGCATGGAATTGAATTTGGAATGGGTTTGGGGTGAGTTTCGGTGCGTATGGGATGGGTCTGGCGTAGGTTTAGGGCAGCTTTGGTGTTTGCGTTTGCACCCATCTCGAGCCAAGCTTAAACAGACTCAACTTCAGATAAATCCTCACACGTTGCCTTCATACTGCAGCATCTAAGGCACTAGCGCACTGGCCGCCCAGTCGCGGGGGCACTTTTCATGTGTATGGTGCACGCCTACTTCCGGTTCACTGTCCTCGACCTCCTGTGTCGTTGCCTTGACGGGAGTTTTCCTATCTCATTCTTGAACTTCATCACGATGAATTCCCATAGCCACCTGACAAGGCTCAAGGCTCCAACACTGGCCAAAATGGCCAGCAACAACAACCACCACTCGCTGCCATCTTCCTTGCCATTGACTTCGTCCTCCTCCATCTTGCTTCCGTCTTCCGTTGGCTCCCAAGATGTTGGCAAAAGCTGGCACCAGATTGAGGCCACTCAGAATCTTCTTGGCCCCCTTTGTCACACAACATCTTCCTCTCTGAGTTGTTGCGCGTTTCCTCTTTGCGCCCACATCGCGTCCCGGAGGACTATCGAACGAAAACTCTGCACGCCCAAATCGTTGGGACCTTTAGTAGTATTATAATGCCCCGAGTTTCCAGGCCTAACAACAGTGTGGGGGAAGCGCCTCAAACTGTCAGAATCCGGCCACGCGCCCTCAAACCACGGCAAAAACACAGAAGAAAGCGGGCCAAACCCACGAGTAGTTTCAAACGGCCACAGCGACACAGCGACGGAAAGAGCAAAAAACGATTCAAGCCTCGGCCAAAAAATCATCAGTCGCAACGCAAAACACGAACATTGCAGGAAGCCAGGCTCACTTCGGCCGGAAACAATTGACCTCGCCCTCGACACTCAGACTCAAAACCCTAAAGCACGACCAGCGGCAAGGATCAAACTTCGCACTGGCCACGTGGCCTCAAGCCTTTACAAAACACAGACGACCCTGGGACGCGGTGCACCTGCTCCGAGGAAGCATTGTCCCCCTCTTCAGTGTTTCCAAGCAACCCCGGAAAGAGCTGAGCCAGCTCAGTAGCCGACCAAACCCCCCCTTCACCCGGGCAGCCCCAAAGCCTTGCGCGCGCCTCAGCACACGCACGGTGCGCCAGGCCTTTCGCCTTGTCAGCTGAAAAAAATCACCGCTGTTATCTCCAAAGGAGGTCTTGCCATCTGGGAGCAGCCGCCCTCGTCCATGTCCTGGTTGGAAGCCGCCAACTTCCACATGCTCCGTGCGCATCACTGCTGTGATGGCGCGTTGCAACCACACCTTCAAACATCCAAGCGTTGCTGGGGTCCGTGAAAACGGTGTGTACCTTAGCTCGCTTACAGCAGAGTACCCGCCTTCACTTGCCCGCCAACTGGCCGCAGTGGGAACGGGGCGAATCGCCAAGACCGGAACTGTTAAGCAGGCGCTGCCTTTGCCAGCCTCCGTTCCAAGGCCGCCACGCCGCTCGCCCCACAGACAGCCAGGCCTCCTTTCATCGGCACCTGCTTCGTGCCATTGCGCAATCATGGGGTGACCTTGTTGCCTTGAAGTATGCAGTGGCCAGAGAAGCCACCAAGCGCCTCGGACAAGCCCGAGCTCGAGGTCCGCGAAGGTAACTGGAAGACAGCCGAGGAAAGAAATTTCCAACAATTGGGTAGTTGCCACCAGCCTTACAGAAGCCAAAAAACAGTGGCTTTTGGGTGTTGCCGTAGGAAAATTGAAGGTGGTCTTTGCAGAAGGAAAAAAACCACGCCCTGTCCTGGACAGCACAGTGTGCCAGGTCAACACGCGATGCTGCCTGCCAGAACGCCTCAGCCTTCCAATGGCATTGGACCTGGCCCTGTCTACCCATCCAGAAGACATGCCACTTCCGGCACGGACAACTCTGCCACCGAAGCAGGCATCAACAAGCTTTTCAGCACTTCTTGGCCCAATTGTTTCCGCAGCTGGTGGCCACCTGGGCTCACGCACAGGAGCTCACTCTGCGCCCCATCGATGCGCCTTGCTAAAAAAGCGGATTTGAGCATGCCACCATGCATCTCAAGCAGCGCTCTGGCTTCGAAGGCGGTGTCGTCGAGAATGTTGTGCGCCGAGTTGCGATCAAGGTCGAGAGGCTCAAAGCAATCAAGGCCAAACTCCAGGGTGAGACCTGCGCGGCTGGCGCTGGCAAGCTGTGTGCTGGGCCCTGTATGGATAGACGTTGCGGCGCTGCGCATGGAATGGCAAGGCTGAAATTTGCTGCGGTCCTTGGCCGGGTGTTTGAGCTGGCAGTTCAGGATGGCGCAGACATGCGCGAATCGGCAGTTGTCGTCCGAAGTGCAAAGGCTTGTCTGGTAGCGCTTGCAAATTTCGCATTGTCTGAAAGACCGGCTCAACTGTGGCGCGCTGTCCCCCTCAGGCCATAGGGCGAGGCGGGCGCCAGCCCTGATGACAACTGTGATTGCGCCTCTTGGCAGCCTCAGCTGCGCAGCTGCGCTGAGCAGGGACGACTTTAGGCTGTGCAGGGAAAACGCATTTGCCTCTTCTTTGGTGACAAGTTGTCTGCCCTCTGGCTGCCAGGGAAGCTGGATGGCCATCTGA